TTATCGTATAAATTAACCATTTTAAAGGTAAATATTCATTGACGAAGGTATTCTTTCCACGTTTATGTATAATTAGTCATAGATTCAATAACCGGGGGGGGGGGGGGCTTTTACTTTTAACTCATACACTACCCGTATTAAAGCGACACTCACTTTAGATATTGCGATTGTTTCTAACGCAATAGCTTTCCATCACGCGTGAATTTCATGATCAGGGAATTTCCGAATTTCTTATTTTCTACTTTCTTTTTCACCTTTATTATAAACTTCCTTCCGTATTTTATATAAACAAACTTCAAATGTGTGTCAACATTACGGATATGAACTCAATTTTTGACTTTTAATGAATATTTGATGGATTTTGAATGCATGTAGTTTGTTGTTAGAAATAGATTAAGTGTTTAATTTTACAACAACAACAACAACAACAACATTTATTCAGCATAAAGCAATATCTAACATCACTTCTATACGGAATGCTACGGAATGCCGTTAGGGCCATTGCCTATGAATGTGTTGATCTGAAACGCGATAGTCGATAGTACGATGGTGAAAACGCGAAATCACGAAACTACGATGGTGAAAACGCGAAAGCACGATGATGAAAACGCGATAGTACGATGATGAAAACGCGACAGTACGATACTACGATGATGAAAACGCGATAAACTATCGTGTTTTCACCATCGCACTGTCGCGTTTTCACGCGATAGTACGATGATGAAAACGCGATAGTACGATGATGAAAACGCGATAGTACGATGATGAAAACACGACAGTACGATGGTGAAAGCGATACTACGATGATGAAAACACGACAGTACGATGATGAAAACGCGATATTACGATGGTGAAAACGCGATAGTACGATGGTGAAAACGCGATAGTACGATGATGAAAACACGACAGTACGATGATGAAAACGCGAAATCACGAAACTACGATGATGAAAACGCGACAGTACGATGGTGAAAACACGATAGTTTATCGCGTTTTCATCATCGTAGTATTGTACTGTCGCGTTTTCATCATCGTACTTTCGCGTTTTCATCATCGTGCTTTCGCGTTTTCACCATCGTAGTTTCGTGATTTCGCGTTTTCACCATCGTACTATCGACTATCGCGTTTCAGATCAACACATTCATAGGCAATGGCCCTAACGGCATTCCGTACTTCTAGCCTACATATTAACATCTGTAGTAGTTACACATGAAATATAAACACTACCATAAGACAAGAGAAAAGTCACAAATAAACAAGAACAGTAATTTAAGAGAGAAACTGTTTTGTTTAGTCAGAATTGGAATAAATTATTAAGTACAAAATGTAAAAAAGGAAAAATAAAATATATGAAATATTTTTTTTTTCAAGAAAAACTAGATGAAAGCTGATAATTAGTTATTCAAGTTCTTTTCGAAGTTTATTTGCAAAGTATAAGTATTTCGAGAGATTTGCTATTTCTTTTTTATTTTTTGTCATCATCAAATGATCAAATTTATTTAAAGATGGCCATGTATAATAATTACGTCGCAGATATTTCTTTCTAATATTTGAGTATAATGGACAAGTTAATAGGAAGTGATATTCGTTTTCAATCATATTTAGATTACAAAATTGACATATTCTTTCATTTCTTATTACATTATTATACCTTCCTCGTTCAATTTCTAGGTTATGTGATGACAGACGAAACCTAGTTAGTGCTATTTTGAATTTTTTGTCTATCGAATAATTATCAAGATATGATTCAAGTTCAAATGAATGTTTAAATCTACTATAAGTTAGAAGTCTCTGTGAGTTATTAATTTCACTGTACCAAAACTGGGTGTATTGATCAAAAATTCTTTGTTTAATAGCATTTAATATATATTCCTGATTTCCTTGATTTCGCCATATATCTGACATCCCTAAATTATCTAACATTGTTTTTATTTGAAATGCCCAATTAGAACCGTTATATGTAATATTTCTATCTAAATCACTAACTATCATGTTATATATGTGTTTAACAGCAGAATTGCCATTCAAGTTTTGTATTCTACACCAATACCTAATCATATTAACCTTTCTTACTATTTTCATTGGAAATCTACCGAGTTCACCATATAGTCCGATTAAGTTTGTAGAATTATTTACGACAAGTATTTTTCGACAGAATTTAGTGTGAATCAGCTCAATATCTTTACCTTCGTTTCCACCCCATATTTCCGAGCAGTAGTTTAATATAGATGAAATCATTGTATCAAATAATTTACATTTTTCAGAAACCTTAAATTCGAATTGATTAAACACAGAAAATAAACGATATAAAGCTTTTGACGCATGTTCTGCAATACATTTTTGCGTTCTATACCAATTACCGTTTTTAAAAAAATAAACACCCAAGTATTTAAAGGATGAAACAACCTCTAGTTTTTCGCCATAAAGATAGAAATCGTGATTTGTCGGTCTCCCTTTTTCAAAAATCATGACTTTCGTTTTACTTGTGTTTATTTTTAAACAAAATGTATTGCAATAATTTTCTACATCGTTTAATAAATACTGTAAAGATTCAGGTGTGGTAGTAAATAATACTTGGTCATCAGCATATAATATTAAGAAAAATTTAAGTTCGTTAAATGAAAATATACCGTCAATGTCCGTATTTATATGTTCCATTATGTCATTCACGAACATCATGAACATAAGAGAAGAACTCGGGTCTCCCTGTTTGACCCCTTGATGTGAGTTGATGAAACTGGAATGGATTTTTCCATTATGTTTCAATGCAGAGCGAACAACAGAATACATAGATTTTATAGCATTAATCATTTTTGTACTTATGTTTTGATTTATCAATTTTTGCCATAGTATAGATCGGTTAATCTTATCGAAACATTTTTCGTAATCAATAAATATTGTATAAAGTTTTTTTTACCGCTATTTAATACTTTTGATATGATAGAATGTAAAATAAATATACAGTCTACCGTACTTTTTCCCTTTTGAAAACCAAATTGACAATTTGATAATTTTTCATACTTTTCACTCCATGCGGTTAATCTATTTAGGAGTATTTGCGAGTATATTTTTGCCAAGATGTTATTTAGTGTAATACCTCGATAATTCTTCGCTTCCTTCTGATCCCCACCTTTAAATATAGGCACAATATAACCTAACCCCCATGATTCAGGATATTCTGCTGTGTCAAATATTTTATTGAAAAGAACAACCAGGTATTGTGAAATAATATCGTATGACGTTTTAATAATTTCTGCTGAAATATTATCCGGACCGGGTGATTTAAAACTATTTTGTTTAAATACAGCCTTTTTTATCTCCGATTCAGTAATTGGTAAATTTAACTCTTCATCTTCGACATTTTCTGTATATAGATCTTCATCTATTATGTTTTGAGTTGTATTTTCACCTAAAAGATTGTTGAAATGGTCATGTAATTCTTCAATACTTATTTCAGCATTATTAGAAGTTGACTTTTTATTGGACTGTTTTATAGATTTCCAGAATTTTCTGGGTTCCTTTAAGGCTATGCTTTCTAATTTTTGCCCTTCTTGTACTTTAAAGCGATATTTTGTTTTTTGCTTCACCTTATTATATTTATTACGGAATTTAGTGAAGTTCATTCTATTTTCTAAAGTATTATTCTTTAAAAATGCATTTCTTGCTTTTTTAAAATCTTTTTTTGCATTATAGCAATTTTCATTAAACCATTTTGGACGTGCATGATTTTGTGTGTGTTTTCCATTGTGACGAGAATGTTTGCCAAACGTCGATAATGCATTTGTGTGCAATAATTCTGTTAAACTTGTAACTTGATTGTCAATAGATAAATCACAATAATTTCCTGAATACGTTTTACAAATATCATTTAAAATAGATGAACGAAATAAATCAACTTTACTTTCATCCCACACTATTTTTGTTGCATTATCACACTTTGAACTGTTTCCTTCATTTATGTTAAAAAATCTATGATTTTTCAATTTTAGAGAAAAATATAAACCTGCATGATCAGAAAAGACTGTCCATTCTTTGATAATAAAATTCAAAACAATGTTAAATGCATTTTTATCAACAATAAAATAATCTGTTACGCTTAAACCACGTGATGAGCTAAAGGTAAAATTGCCTAATCCACGGTCGCTGTGCATTCGGCCATTGGCTATGACATGATTAGTTGATTTACATAGTAAGGTTAATCTCCGCCCATAAGAATCAATCACGTGATCGCTATTGGTGCGGTCATGAATAATACATTGATCATTTAAAAAAATATTATCTTCATCGTCAAGATATTTATCATATTCTAAAATATCAGATAAGTTCCCAGTCCTAGAATTAAGATCTCCAGTAATGAAGGTTTTACCTAAATTATTATATTTTTCTATTCCCTTTTCTATTTCGTCAAAAAAATCAAAATCTTTATCATACAAAACTTTAGAACCAGGTGGTGGAATATAAGCATTACATATGTATACATTTTCTTCAAGGTCGAGTAAATCTTTGTTAATTTTTAGCCAAATAATACCATACTTGTGAGTCTCTACAATAGAAATATTTGAACTAAATTCATCTTTAAAATAAACAGATATTCCTCCGCTATAGCGTCCTTTCTTGGTGCCACTTGATTTATTTCCATATAAATGAAAACTTTGATAACCGTTTATTTCTAAATTAAACATGTATTTTTCACTAATCCAAGTCTCACAAAATAACAAGATATCGTAGCTGCTTATATAGTCTAAAAATTCCTCATCATTTAATTTTCTTGATAACCAGTTTAAATTCCACACAAGAATTCGTAGTTCCTCTTGCTCTTCCTAGCTTGTAATCTCGTGGAATGGTCCCTCGGCATGATCACTGACTAAAAGCTTTGCTCCAGCCCATTTGACGAATCTGTCATTTTTCTTTTCACGATCCATAATGGAATAGAGTTCTTTTCTTTTGGCCAGCACAGCTCTAGTTTGTTGAACAATATCCCGTGTATTGTCCGTGTTCGTATCCGTGTAAAGTGGCGAGATAACCTTTCGTTTTACAAGGACTTGTTTATAGTGTATGTTGAGTAAAAGACACATGTATATGGACACATTATTTCCTTTATCAGTAAATAAAAGCACTACATGACTATGGATTTTACGCCTAGCAGTTCAAGCGATCTCTGCTTCGTAAACGTTCATGGACGTTTTGATTCTTTTAATGGATTTTCTGCCCCTTTACCAATTTTTCCTTCGACGGATAATTCGCTGACCTTCAGAAAACTTATCATCAAGTTGCAAAAAGAAATATGTGACGAAGATTTTCAGAAGGTTAAGTTTCTATTTGGAGGTAAGTTATGGTGACAAAAGTAAATTATTTGGATGGCAACGTTACAAAGGTAATATCAATGAAGGCTTGAAGCTTTACGGCTTTTTACATTTCATGAAGTTGACTCCGTGTTTGGATTCGAACCAGTAACAAGATCAAATATTATACTAATTGTAATATATAATAATAAAGTACCATTCAAGCGTTTAGAAATTTCTAGATATCTAAATAAAGGATACTCTTATCATGCTCGGTATTTTTCCGGAACAAATGTGAAAACAACAACAACAAAACAGTTTATAAAATATATAACGGGCACTCGTTGTTTGTATTTTCCATACAATTTCAAATGTTTTCAGGAGAAATAAAGAAAGGGCGAATGGAAAAGATTTTGAATCTAATGGACCTTGTCACTGTCCTGAAAGAAAGATGTTTACTTGACGAGGATTCTATAACTAATCTTGTAGATACATTTGAGATCATAGAAAGGGACGATCTGGTGCAATTAGTAAGAGATTATGAAGCTGGCTGCAGCAGTTTGACGTCAACAATAATAGGTGAATACAATCAAATTTATAATTCAATAGGCAGCAAAAAAAAATTAAGAGAACTGGTCATATTTCAAAGTAAAATTTATTCAAAATGAAGATCTAATTTTTTACAATGGTTTTCAATTGGTATTGTAGATTGTGTTGAGCAAAACGAATCAACTCCAGCCGAGTGTACCCGATAGTCGACACACAGCAACATGTTTTAATAACCAACGAACAGGGAAAAGCCGAAGATACCTCAGAGCAAGATTTTCTGCAAGAAGAAAACAACACATTTCCGTCCACGACATTGAATTCAGGTACCCGTTGCATTGCTTACTAAATGGCGAATCTAACTAAATACATGCATTTTTGATGACTTTTTATATTAAAGATTGATATCATCAATTATATATTTCCTATGATTAAGAAACAATTTCATTTTATACTTTTATTGTTAATTTTGGGCATTGTTTGTTCAAAAATGTTTACTTGATTATAGATGATGACACACCTGCCATACTGACCATGGATCAAGCGACACAAACGGACGTGGCATTTGAGTGTGACAACCTTTCACCTGATCTTCAGGATGAGGATCTTTTACAATTGTTGTGCAATGAATCACTGCTGCTTTCTGACGGATTTGAATTATTCGATCTTAGAAACAAGCTTTCTAAGCTACATATGCTCCGTAATGAACAGGGACTAAAGTTTCTGCGGTCTAAACTATTGCGTGTGTACCCGCAATTGTTGTATTCAGATATATTTAACTGTTAAAAGGTTAAGCTGTACGTAAAAAGATATACATCTTGTATAATTCGCACGTTAAAAGTCGGGATCCCACTACTATATCAGTTGTCTAAATATAGAATGAAAAGTTTATGTATATTACGTGTACAACTGAACACGCGCGTTATACATGATGTATTTGTGCCTTGCCACGTTTTAGTATGACTTCAGCTTTTTTATAGAGGCATTTATAATTCATAATTTATGCAGATAATGAACTGTTTTTAAATACTGTTTGTGCTTAAAGCTCCACAACCTAAAACATAATATTTAATTAATTACATAGCTCAAGTGGTTTACATAAAATGTAAAAGGAAGAACTGGATGAGGGAATGATCTGAAATTTGCACACATGTTACTGTTTTAGACATACATCAGTTAATGATCAACATTTTTTTTGTCCAAACACATTGTAGTATTTTTCAAATTTCTGCAAAGTCTAACTTTGGTTAATGTGTACTAACTAAATAAAATTTACTTAATCTGTCGTCTAACCAGTCTAACAAATTTCAATAATGCATTATATTAGGGAGGAGTTAGAGGTGTGGTTTGCACTCTGAATTGTTAAATATAAAGGTTAGCAAAACAATGATAACGTAAACAATTAGGTTTTCTAAATGTGAGGATACAATCAATTGATTAATTACATTGATAATACATGTGAGACACGCAGAGACAAATGATTACATAGTAACTTTTTTATATCCTTTTAACTCTAAGAAAAATGTCTGTTATTAATTGCTGACTGTTTTAACTTTATATTTTCTAAAAGAAGTAACTAAAAATTATTTTCGGAATGAACTGCATTAACAATCCTTGATATTAAGGATACAGTGATTACATTTTTGGCTGGAAAACTCATTAAAAATGGACCCCCTCCACCCGTAAACCATAATTTGTACACAGAAAAAAAGAACTGTTTTTCAAAAAGAGCAAATCGATAGGTATTTAAAAAGGTTAGTGAATAACTTGAAGCTAATAACAAATTTGTATCAAAGAATAATCTTTAATATATTTTTCTCACATTTTCCATTTATTTTTTAAAGGATGTACACATTTCATTAACTCCATTGTTTTACCTAATTACTGTAGATGAAGGCATAAATTCTGTGACATTTCAGTAAAAAATGTGCCTGATTATATGTTGAAAATTTAGCTTATCTAAACGTGAAATGTTAGAAACTTGACAAGGTGTAGACATCTTGTAGAGGGAAATGTCGTAGCTATCGGTGATTTAGAGAAATGCCTCGTTTTTGGTTGAAAAAATAATGTTGATCATTAAATAGGCTAATGTTTAATAATACGCGTTAACAAAAATAATTGGTCGCCTTCCTTGGCAGACTTGACCAATTATTTTTGTTAATACGTATTATTAAACACTAACCTTTACATGATATCGGAATAAATAAGTCACGTCATGTTAGTGGGATCCCTATTAGATTTTAAACACAAATCTGATAACAAGCTAATTCAATTTCATAGGTTTAATATTAGGGTAAAAACAATAAGATAAACAGGGGCATTGCAAAGCTTGTATATAAAACTTATTTATGTATCTTAATACTTAAAAACATACCTTATAGCATAATTGTTATCATTATCATTATTGTATATAAGACCATTTCAACACCATCGTCATCATCTGCAGCAGCAGCAGCAGCAGCAACATCACAACCACCATCATCATCATCATCATCATCATCATCATAGCATCATCATCTTCATCATTTAACTTTGTATTAAAATCTCAAGATAGGGTAGAAATTGTAACTATGTTATAGATATAATATATTGTTATATTTTTTACAGCTTTTTCGGCAATAATAAATGACGGGTACAATTATGATGTAAGCATTGCATTATTGACTTAGTTATCATAAGTCAATTAAATAAAAAATGACAGTTTTCATCATTAAAACAGTTGAATTACTAATAATTGATAAAATGTTGGAAAAAAAATAAACAAAATAGATTTTTAACTAAAACATATCAGCGACCAAAGAAAGAAAGGAAAAGGTTTAATAAAATTAGAAAAGCTTTTTTTTCTTAATATTTTTTTATCTCTTACAGAGAACTAAGTTCTACGGGTATAAACTATATTATAGACATGTAGGACAATGCTTAGTTCACCTTTATTTAGTTAAGTCTGTTCTATCGGTATTACTCATGTTTGTTTTACTCTATTCTTTAATTTGTATATGCATCATCATTATAGTGTATTTAGTTTAATGAGTTGCTTGAAACAAACTTTTATGTTAACAAATAAATTAAGAAAAAAAATGGTATTTTTTTCTTTCATTTATAAAAGTAAATGTACTTTTCCACTTTTGAACATATGTTCTCTGCGGTAGACAAAAAAGATATTTTGCTTGCCTTTCTGACTGTCTTACCAAGTTAGAAGTATTAAGATATTGGGTCTTTGTAGACTTAATGAATATTTATAAAGTCAGGTCCGTAGACCACTATGTGCAACCGTTCAAATAGCAAAACACAGCCCATGTCCTCTGTGAACAAAATATTGCAACAAAATTGCACATATTCAAACTCAGATTTTATAATAAAAAATGATTTGTAGCTGGAAGAATATACGTTGACTTGGTTTATAAAAGTAATGATGTATTTTTAAGAGGTTATCTAACTAGTTTGAGCAATATTGACACAAAATATGAAAAACAAGATCAACAAGAAAGGGCGTCGCTCAATGAAACGTAACCCCCTCACGACTCAGCAACACAGGATTACCTGCTCTCAATGAACGTAACCCCCTCACGACTCAGCAACACAGGATTACCGGCGCTCAATGAACGTAACCCCCTCACAACCCCGCAACACAGGATTACCGGCGCTCAATGAACGTAACCCCCTCACGACCCAGCAACACAGGATTACCTGCGCTCAATGAACGTAACCCCATCACGACCCAGCAACACAGGATTACCGGCGCTCAATGAACGTAACCCCCTCACGACCCAGCAACACAGGATTACCGGCTAGGAGCCAAGCAGGACATCAAATAAAAACAGGACTGGGTACAGCCATTAGTCAGACAAAATTAGGCTACGAAAATAAAATCTAATTACTCTAATTGACACAAATTCATTTCTTCATAGGATAAAGCAACAAAATATACACTTCATCATAATTTATGATGTATACAATGTGACGATTACTGAGAATAATTTATTTGGTAAATAAAAAATAACTTCCAAAAAAAGCCCTACAAAAACATCGCAAAAAATGTGAAGGCAAATGCTAATTTCCTGAGGTAGTGGATAAAACGAATTGTTTTCGTTTCTTTTTGTACTTGAAGCAATTACCGTTTATGACCTTATTGATTTTCTATACTGTAATTATTTGTTCAAAACTTCAACAATGTATTTGTATTTGTCATGTATGACGATGAAATTGGGATTTCATTTTATTTTCAAAACTTCGTAAATACATATACGTGTTTCTATTTATATGTTGATGAGAAATTACAGGGTATTTTTTGTTTCGATTTCAACTAAAGTTTTTTGGAAGTACACATATTTTGCCATTGTAACGTGTAATATTGAATAAAAAATATGAAGAACCAGCGCTAATGGCCAACTTAGACAAGATGGAGAAGATGCCAAAACCAGCGGAATGGCACTTCAGTCAGCTTTTGTTTAACATTGCAAAAATTAACGGAAAGGTTAAATTTTTTCCCAAAAGGGTTTAAAAAAGGGTTTATATTGGGGCCCCAAAAATTTTTAAAAAATTTTTTTAAGGTTTATTTTTTTTATAAATCCAGCTTTTTGATTTTCCCCCTTTAGAAATTTTTTGTTTTTTTGGGCCTTTTTAATTTTCCTTTTAATTTATTTAATTGTGATTCCCAAAAGTTTTTATAAAATTTTGAACCCATTTCTTTATTTTTTCTTTATAATTTAATTTTAAGCAGAAATTATGGAAAACCCAAAGACTTTCCCTTTTTTTCCAGTAATGGTGTTTGAAAACCATTTTTATTTAGTTTTTGTTTGACTTCCATTAAAATCTGGATTTTTTTCATTTTTTTTATTTTTTAAAATTTGGGGGTTTTGAATTTCACAGGGAAACGGAATTTTTCAAGAAAAATGAAGTTCAAGAAATCACTTTCCGCATTTGAGCTATTTTCATGCATTCGCAATATACAATATTTGAGCAGTAAAAATATGGCGTGTTCTACAGCAGATGCTAGAGCTGATAAAGAGAAAAGACCTAATCAAGAAAGCCATTGGGATACTGTCAAAATGAGAAAGAAGAGGAAATGATGAGATTTATGCAAGGTATCTGACGAAGACTTAGGTAAATAGTTTTATGTAATACTCTTGTGAATCAAACTGACTTTAAAAGCACTTGAAGTTAAAAATCAGAAATTATATACAGTTAATTCACTGTTTGTATAAGATATGATTACTTAAGGATTTTAATGCAAATGACAGTCATATATTGTAAATGATTTTACTTTCTTTTCAGAACCTGGTCACAGCTACGTAAGGTTCCATTTCGACCATCAGGAACCGGTTGATTTCAATTTTAATTTCATAAACTATTTCAAAATAAGAATGTCTGCCTTGTTGTTTATGCCGATTGAAAGTGTGATAGTAGTTGGGATTGAGGCAAATTATACGACCTGTGGACCACGTGAGAAGCCTTGTCCCGGTGCTATTATTACTTTAATGATGTCGGTTTTGTACATTGATATACTACACGAAACAATCGAAGACAAAGACAAAATGTCAGCCGTTACATTGTTCGGGATTACCAGCGTTGAGTTGGAAAACAAGATATACAAGTTCACTGAAGGTTGGTAATTAATATTGACTGCAACTCGTAGAAGCAAAGTATAGATGCAATATGTGTTATATAATCAATTTAATGTTTCTATGGTTTGATGAATTTTAGAAACATAGAAAACGTGATTTTTATCTAAAGGCAGCATTAAAAAGTAAATAATTTAGATCACATTAATTTTTTTTTTCATTTATGTTTCATGACTCCTATGTGTTACGGGAATTGACTAAAAGAAAAAAATATTCATTTTTCTCTACTCATTCTTTTGTTGTTTTACAGACGACGTAAA